TTCTCCTTGACACCTTAAAATGTATCTTTCTTTCCTCTTTGCTTGTACAGCTTGTGTTGTTAATTTTGTATTGTAACAACATCTACCACAGCTAAAAGCTTTTATTGGGGGGTGGGGATTATGAATGCGACATATGCTTATTTTCTTAATTTCAGAAAAGATAGCAGAGTATAAAAAAGCAAATAACGTCTCCCAGAATCACAACCTCTTAGAATATTTCCTTCTTGTCTTTTTTCTCAATCTGAGCATAAATAAGTAGTTCATGTGTAAGAGGAACGGGGGGAGTAGAGAGCTGTGTCTGTGGCAAAACTGGGACAGGTGTGGGCTTCTGTAGGGAAGTGGTGGGGCAGCTGCCAGGGGCTGATGCTCTAGAAGGAGCGAGGAACCTTCTGAATGAGGTCTCGTCCCATGGGGACAAGAGGTCAAGCAGATGTCTTTGCCTTAGTGAGTGAGCCCTCGTCATTAAAGAAGGGCTGCATCTGAATATAACCTAGCTCAGCCTGAGAGCTCAGAACCTATGGAATCAAGTCTGGGTCATGTGGGGAGGGGAGAGGGGAGGGGTTCCTGACATGGTCCAGCCATGTCAGGCATTGCAGAATTGTTTCACTGAAGAACAGGTCCTAGACCTGCTTCATCATCAGCCTTAGGTGCCCAGCAGGGGTGTGGTACATTTTACACCGGGAAGAGGGGGAAGCGATCATGGAAATCACGTGTTAGCAGCAATGCCTGGACTTAGACATGAGCCCCATGGGAAACACCCATGGGAAACTTCTAGAAACACTTGGTATGAGCTCGCAGAGGCAGATGGGAGGGAGAACATGCAAAACTCAGGTGCCTTTTGCCGTGATGTGTTGCTTCATGACTCTAGCCAGACAGTGAGACCGCTGAGAGCACAGTCATGTCATATTTAACTTGACTCCCGTCACCTAGCTCATTGCTTGCCTGGCATATAGTAAGTGCTCGGGGCATGAAATTTTTGCTGATTAAATATCCTCTTTTAAATATCTTCTTTTTGATAATCTGATTTATGACATGGTTTCCAGGAACATGCTATGGTTAAAAATGGGACTCCCTGACCAGAAAAATGAAGTCAAGATGCTGCTCACAAACTTAGCATCAATGAATCTTGGCATTCCCTTCCCCCAAGCACTGGGATTAGAAAAATGCTGGAGTTTTCCATCAACGAATGCCCTTGAGCCCTGACACTTTTCCTCATTATTTAAATGGATCTAGGAATAGAAGAGAGACCAGAACCAACCAAGCCACCTCCTCAGATGGACAGGAGCCTGGAGACCTGGCCTTTGTTTTACTGGTGAACTGGGTGTCAGCCATGTGTCTGGCACTGTGCTGGATATCCCAGGGGTTCTAGACAAACAGATCTCACTCAGCCCTTGTCCCTGGGGACTTTGTCACTAGCGAGAGAGATTAACTGTTGCAAAACCTCTGTACCACAGAGCTGTTCAGGGCAGTGTGCAATCAGGGAGCAATAGCACAGATGAAGTGGCCAGAAGGATCTAGGGAGACAGAGACCCTGGGGGCCAGAGGCAGGAGAAGACTTGGTGAAGAAGGTGGGGAACGAGTGGGCGTGGAGGACAGGGTCATCTTGAGGTTGAGAAGGAAGTCAACTAGCAGGGTTCCCCTCCAGCTCTACCCTGTCACGCTGTGTGCCCTTAGGTTAGTTATGTCACCTGTCGAAGACTTAGTGTCTATAAAATAGTTCCTACCTCGCAAGGCTGTTGAGGAGTAAACGATATGCACAAGGTGCTTAACAAAGTGCCAGGCCCAAGATAAGCACTCAATAAATGTCAGCCATGGCTTTTGTTATCAAGAAGAGTGGGTGAAATTTAGAGACGGCTAGGGATTGGGAGGCCTGACCAAACTTCTGGAGTAGTTCAGTTCTATTTATTTATTAAGCACCAACTATGTACCGAGCATTGTGCTTGGCTCTGGGGTAGTGGAGACAGGGGCCCTGCCCTTAAAGAACTGACAGGCAAGCTGGATACAACAAATAGGCAACACTCCCCGTTGTGTTCCCCACAATAAAGCAGGGAGTGTGTAGGGTCGGAGGAGGTCCTGTGGCCAAGGCTACAGGTAGCCAAGGAGCCCTTTCCCAGGTGGAGGATCTCAGCTGAGATCTGGGTATGAGCAGGAATTAGCCCACGGGTAGAGGAGGGCCGGACAGGAGAAGAAAGGGAGAGTCTTGAGCAAAAGGAAGAACATTTCAATCATCTGGAGAGTTCAGTCCATTCAAGCCGCTACAAGTCAGCTCAGTGTGTCTGGATCCAATTAGATGGGGAGGGAGGGAAACCGGTCACCAGGGCTCTGAGGCCAATGGAGACCCTGAAAGGGAGGGCCGTAAACTCACTGGTGCCTTCCGAGGATTACCTTAATGCCCAATGGGAGGAGACAAGGCCAGAGGAGACAGACCATGATATTTTGTGATCATCCAGGTGAGAGACTGGGGTGGCCTCAACTAGGGTGGTGGTGGAAAAGGGGACAAGGGGACACATTCCAGAATTACTTAAGAGCAAAAGTGACCGCAGCTCTTTCTGCACCATGGGCCCTGCCCCCGTGCTTTAATAAAGATCACCTTTTTTCGCCCTGAAAAAAAAAAAAAGTGAATCCTGGTCCTCGGGGATCTCCCACTTCCACCACACTTACATCAGGCACGTGAAAGACAGACACGTATAGACCACGCCAGATGAGTAGCAATGGAGGTACGCAGGACACTGGAAGGGTACAGGAGAGGGCTCAGCAAAGGCTGACAGACAGGGCCAGGCCACAGGTAGAGGCTCCTGCCAGAGGTGATAGTGGTGGCCTGGGAGCCACTGGGCAGGGTGTGGACGTACGCTGGTCCTCGGGATCCCAGCAGGGTCACACTTGATGGTATGGGTTGTAGGAGCCTTTGGGGAGCCCCCCCCCCACAGAGGGAAGGTGGGAACGGAAGTGGAGTACAGAAGGAAGCAGCTGCCTGCAGGGTTCATCGGAATGGGCGGGGGGGGGGGGGCGTGGGGAGTGGGAGCCCAGAAAGGCAGATGTGCTGGTTTGGGCCCAGGGGAGAAAGAGGAGGAGGAGTGAGCAGGAGAAACTTCGCAGGAAGTGACTAGGCTGGTGGAGGGAAGGAATCCACTGCGGCTCGGGGCATGAGACTGAAGCTGAGGCCCTGTCCAGACGGTACGGCCAGAACCAGGGCACTCGGTACCCAGCACAGGGAGGTCAGTGCCACGGCTACCCTTTCCTGGGTGCCTGCTGCCGCCAGACCCAAAGCCTGCAGACGGGCAGACATCGTGACACCATTTCCTCCTCACCACCACCACCACCGTCCACGACGCTGTTCCCCACTTTACACACGCGGCCACCGTGGTTCAAAGAGGCTAAGAAACTCACCAGGCGCGCAAGTGATGGGAAGCCGTGAATTCAACACAAACCTTGAATGCTGACTATGTGAGGGAGGGTTGAGCATTAAGTCCATGGATGTGTATAGAGGACATGGAACAGTGCCCGGGACAGAGGGGGCATTTTCCAAGCGTTCCCCGTTATTATCATGTCGGGACACAGCGTCAGGCCCTGGAGATATTGTGGTTAACAAAACGAGAGATTCCTGGCCCCGTGGACCTTAGCGTCCCGTGAGGAAGACAGACGTAAAGGAAAGATGCAAGAAAACATAACACAGATCACAGGAAGTGCCAGGAAAGAAAATGGACTCTATGTTACAAAGTGCCCAGTTCGACCCCAAAGCCCAGGCCGCTGGACCACGAAGGGCTGAGGCATTGGTGGTCGGGGACTGGTTCTGATGCAGGACGAATCATGGTGGCACCTCCACAGCAGGGTTCCTTTACGGGAAGAAGCAGAGACGGACTAGAGCAGTGGTTTTCAAACTGTTGTAGCTGAGGAACCTTTTATTTATTTATTTATTTATTTATTTATTTATTTATTTATTTATTTTCAACGTTTATTTATTTTTGGGACAGAGAGAGACAGAGCATGAACGGGGGAGGGACAGAGAGAGAGGGAGACACAGAATCAGAAACAGGCTCCAGGCTCTGAGCCATCAGCCCAGAGCCTGACGCGGGGCTCGAACTCATGGACCGCGAGATCGTGACCTGGCTGAAGTCGGGCACTTAACCGACTGCGCCACCCAGGCGCCCCAGGAACCTTTTATTTAAACAGGAGCGTAAGCATAAGCCAAATCCAATGAGCAAACGAACACAAGCTCGACTGCTCTGACTGAGGGCCGAACTGCACCCCCCCCCCGCCCCGCCCCGTCTGCCTTTCCATTTGCATTCTCCACAGCACCAGAGGGGCTCCACCAAATTCCCAGCAGGAACGCCATGGGATCAGAATAGGACTTAACATTAAATGAGCACTTACCAACAGCTATCATGACTTACGCTGTCTCATTTCATTTTCTTTTTTTTTTTTTTAATTCTTTTTAACGTTTATTTATTATTGAGAGACAGAGCATGAGCATGGGAGGGGCAGAGAGAGAGGGAGGCACAGAATCTGAAGCAGGCTCCAGGCTCTAAGCTGTCAGCGCAGAGCCCGACGCGGGGCTCGAACTCACAAACCGCGAGATCATGAGCTGAGCCGAAGTCAGATACTTAACCGGCTGAGCCACCCAGGCACCCCTCATTTCATTTTCCCCATGACCCTATAAAGTCATCTTTTTATAATGAGGAGCCTGAGGCTTAAAGGGGTTGATAACATCAACCAATCAATGGCTGCTTGAAAGAGCTGCTTGGCAGTCACGGTCTGGCGCCTGCCCAGCTGTGTAGCCCCATGGCTGCCACCCCCTCACACACACTCAGACGTACACACCCACACATACACCCACACATACGCTGCAACCACACTTCCTTTCTTTAAATCACAGGTACCCATCTCGCTTCCCCGGCCTCGGCACACGCTTTTCCATTCTTCAACCAGTATGTTAGTCTCTTATTGATTCTGTAACAAATGATCACAAACAGTGGCTTAAAACAACACAAATTGTCTCATACTTCTGAGGATCAGAAGTCTCCAAAGTGGGCCAGCAGGGCTTTGCTCCTTTTGGAGGCTCGAGGGGGAGAATCCATTTCCTTGCCTCTTCCAGCTTCTAGAGGCTTCCTTGGCTCACAGCCCCCTTCCAGCAACGCCATCACTTGACCTCTGCTTCCATCTTCACATCTCTGACTCTGACCCTCCTGCTGCCTTCTTATAAGGCCTCCTGTGATGACATTGTGCCACCCAGATAATCCAGGAGACTCACAGCTCCACTCCTTAATAGAATCACAGGTTTCTTGCCCTGTAAGGTAACACATTCCTACGTTCTGAGGATGAGGATGTAGACATCTTTGGGGGCCATTATTCAACCTGTCACACCTCATAACCCCACACTCATTCTTCACACCTGAGCTTCAAGAGCATGTCCTCAAGGAAACTGTGTCTGACAGCCCAGAGGAGACCTTCTGGAGGTGGGGGTCTCACAGCAGCCTGTGCCTCTGCGTCACAATGCTCGTCAGAGTCACAGTTTGGCGTTTGTTTGGACCTTATTTGATTAAGGCCATGACTCAAGAGTGTGGGGAGCCGCTTGGTTTTTCCATTTGTGTTTTCAACAGAGTCTGGCACACAGAAGTGGCTCGATTAACATTTGCTACATAAATGGATGAACAAATACAGGACCCTGCCCGAGGCAAGTAGCAGAGGCAGGATTTGAACTCGTGCAGCCGTTTTACAGAATCCCATCCTGTAAGCCTTGCACCCTCACAGCCTTACCTCGCGCAGGCCTGCCGCGGGGCTCAGGCGCAGGGGGCATGTGAAGTCACCTCCAGGACATCCCACCAGGTCATGTGGCTGGCGGGCCAGACCACGCCTGAACACCTCCAGGGGCACCAGTCTGACGTCCAGGGATTTAGGACATGGGGTGGGGGTAGGGTAAGAGTTCCGTAAGCCCTAGCCACGTGGGACTGGGGGCTACGGAGGGACGGCAGCCATTGGAGAGGCAGCAGTGGGGGGGTGGCACGAGGCAGGGGCGGAGGGGGAGCCCGTGGGCACGCAAGCGGGAGGAGGGAGCGAGAGCCCAGGGCAGCGCCTCGGCAGGCCCACGGGGAGAGGCTGGGGGGGGGGGGGGGGCGATGCCAGCGAGGAAACGAGCTGTCAGAAACTCGGAGGCGGCGTGGGAAAGTGCAGTGTCATGGAAACCAGGGGAGCGAGCAGGTCCATCCGGGAAGAGGCGGCTGCCGGAGCATCGGCGCCGCAGGGCGGGAGCGGGAGTGGGAGGCCCAGGGCCACCTGTCCTCGCGGGGCAGGCGGGCTCGGTCGACCTTCAGCAGGGTGGTTTCAGCAGAGGGCAGGGGAGCCGGAGGCGGAGGCCTAGCGGCTTGCAGGGTTCCGGAGGCAGCAGCGGACCAGACCGCCCGTTTCCGGATCTGGCAGGGGGAGCGGAGGGCGGTTGCTAGGAGGGGCGGCGGCGGGACGGGAGCGCGCGTGTGGGCGCCTGGAAGCGCCTGGGAGGAAGCAGTGGAGAAGCGAGAAGGAGGGCACGTCGTGGGCGTGCACCCGGCTGGACGGGAGAGTCCGAGCATGAGTCAGCACCCGGGGCGCTCAGTCCGTGAGAGGTGGGAGCCGCCCGGGCACCGAGACCAGCTCCTGGCTCCCGCCCGGGTCAAACCGGCATCGGGCTTGGGGCGGGGGAGCTAAGCTTTTCTCCCTGCAGGTGCGAATTCAGGTTGCTTTAGAGAGGACCCCGGAGACCTGGGGCTCAGGCCCCTGAATGCAGAAGCCTAGCATAGCCTCCTGCTCGGAGGCCGAGTGCTCCCCAGGTTCTAGGAGACTTCAGAGGGCCCCACGCCCTGGGCTGGGAGTCTAGTATGAAGCCACTGGGGAGGGACTGGATGGGAGTGTGTAGAACCTCCTGCCCCACTCCTCTAAAAGGTTCTAGAACTGCTCTCCCCAGCCCAAGGGATATGACAGCCATATGTTGAAGATGTGAGCCCAGTTTTGCACTTTCCACTCCTTTGGGGGGCTGGTGAAGCCTATGGACGTTTTCGCAGGATAAATGCATAAAATATATCAAAATACCAACAACATCTTTCACAGAACTAGAATAAATCTAAGCACAGAAGACCTCGAATGGCCAAAAGGATCTTGAGAAAGAAGAACAAAGCTGGCAATATCACAATCCCAGATTTTAAGATATACTACAAAACTGTAGTATTCAAAATAGTATGGTACTGGCCCAAAAATAGACATACAGATCAATGGAACAGAACAGAAAGCCGAGAAATAAACCCGTGCTTTTATGGTCAATTAATGTAGGACAAAGGAGGCGAGAATATACAATAGGGAAAAGATAATCTCTTCAACAAATGGTGTTGGGAAAACTGGACAGCTACATGCAAAAGAATGAAACTGGACCACTTTCTTATGCCATACACAAAAATATATTCAAAATGGATTAAAGATCTACATGTGAGATCTGCAACCGTAAAAATCCTAGAAGAAAACACAGGCAGCGATTTCTTTGACATTGGCTATAGCAACTTTTTCTAGATAGGTCTCCTCAGGCAAGGGAAACAAAAGCAAAAATATACTATTGGGACTACACCAAAATAGAAAGCTTTTGCACGGCAAAGGAAACCATCAACAAAATGACAAGGCAACCTACTGAATGGGGGAAGAGATTTGCAAATGATATACCCCATAAGGGGTTAAAATACGAAACATATAAAGAAATGATACAACTCAACACCAAACAACAACAACAACAAAATCTTATTAAAAATGGCCAGAAGGCCTGAATAGACATTTTTCCAACGAAGACATACAAATGGCCAGCAGACGCATGAAAAGATGCGTCACTCATCATTAAGGAAACATCATTCATCATTAAGGAAATGCAAATCAGAACCACAATGAGTATCATCTCACGCCTGTCAGAATGGCTAGAATCAAAAAGATAAGAAATGACAAGTGTTGGTGACAATGTCACCCTCCCCAGCTGTTGTTGGGAGCACAACTGGTGGGAATGCAAATTGGTGCAACCAATTTGGACAACAGGGTGGAGGTTCCTCAAAACATTAAAAATAGAATTACCATATGATCCAAAGAAAATGACAACTAATTTGGAAAGATATACACCCCTATTTTATTGCAGCATTATTTACAATAGCCAAGATACAGAAGCAACCTAAGTGTCCATTGGATAGATGAATGGAGAAAGACGTGAGATATATAGATTAGATATAGCTACACAGATATAGATATAATGGAATATTACTCAACCACAAAAAAGAATGAGATCTTGCCATTCACAACCACAAGGATGTACCTAAGAAGGTATAACGCTAAGTGAAAAAGAGAAGGACAAATGCCATGATTTCACTCATGTGAAATTTAAGAAACAAAATAAACAACAAAAAAAGCTGAACAAGAACACAGACTCTTTTTTTTTTTTTTTTTTTTTTTTCTACGTTTATTTATTTTTGGGGCAGAGAGAGACAGAGCATGAACGGGGGAGGGGCAGAGAGAGAGGGAGACACAGAATCGGAAACAGGCTCCAGGCTCTGAGCCATCAGCCCAGAGCCCGACGCGGGGCTCGAACTCACGGACCGCGAGATCGTGACCTGGCTGAAGTCGGACGCCCAACCGACTGCGCCACCCAGGCGCCCCCAAATGTGCTTCTTTATCAAATGCATTAAAGAACGAGATCTAGTGACAGGCCCTGATGTTAGAGTAGCAATAAACACAAATGACATTTGGAGACATCCCCAAAGCTCTAATGTGATATGCAAATGTCTGTGATTTCTTCTGGTGACAAAGTCACAGATCCCATGACTATCATGATCACTGCCTACAGTCATAATGGAAGGAAAGTTCAGTTTTAGGTAGAGCCTCACGAAAATAAAGATATCGTTTTTTGCCCACTCACGTTCGTGGATCCCCTGAATTCTATCCATAACCTTTAGAATGTTAAGAGTTTCTGTCCTGTAGCAAAAGTCAAAAGCCCCAGTACCCACAGGGGCCAGACGGGTGGCATCACGAAACAGTATGGAATGGCTGTGAACTTGGCGTCCAGGAGAATACACCCTCCTTCTAGGGGGAGCAAGACTGCTCAGCTCCTCGTCCCGCCCATCTTCACATTTTTAAGAGATACCGCAGCAAACACCAAGTTTTATGTGAGTTCTCCTAATTTTTAAATGTTAGCAAAAATATCCACGCTTTAAAGGATACTTTGGGGGCCAAGTATAACATAGCTGTTGGCCAGATACATACTGGAGATGCTGAATTTTGGATCCCTGCTGCTGGGGTCCTTTGTGGGGCCGGGCCTCACCCTCCAGGTCTACAGTCTTCCATAAGAAAATGAGGGATCAGGGGCGCCTGGGTGGCTCAGTCGGTTAAGCAGCCGACTTCGGCTCAGGTCATGATCTCGCAGTCCGGGAGTTCGAGCCCCGCATCGGGCTCTGTGCTGACAGCTCAGAGCCTGGAGCCTGCTTCGGATTCTGTTTCTCCCCCTCTCTGACCCTCCCCTGTTCATGCTCTCTCTCTGTCTCAAAAATAAACATACATTAAAAAAAGAAGAAGAAAGGAAAGAAAAGAAGGGATCGTATGTACCCCACAGCTCTGGTCTAAAAGTGTACTTACTAGGCAATAACCCCAATCCACAGTAAAGTACCACATTAAAGCTAGCAATTGTCAACTGCCACCTCCCTGCCCCCCGCCACCCCCCCAGGGACCGACAGTGTCAGAGCTATGTTTTCATGTGCACTCCTCTACCACGGGAACCCTACCACAGGAGCTGGATTGGAACCAGAAGCTCTGAGTTTCAGTCTTAGCTCTGCCACTGATCAGACTAGTGACCTTGAGAAGTCACGACTCTCTTTCAACCCCTGCGGGCTCTCCTCTACAAAATGGTTTAAGGGGTTAGTGGCACATCCGATGTTGTAGGTTGCTGTCCACATGCAAGGAGTACTGGTTGTTTCTGCCCAATTTCTTTTTGTTCTCCGCTCCGGTCGGCTGGGTCCCTGTGAAGTGAGGGTGTAAGAAATGAGGGAAGCCGTGTTTGTCCCAAAATGTAGCCTAATGGACAATATCTGTCAAATGCCTAAAGCAAGAGTATACCAAAGCAAGGCAAGGCAATTGCCTGACTTATTCAAACGATAATCACTCTGGAAAGGTCCAGGGATTGGGCAATTACCTCGATTTTTTTTTTTCCGGCGGCACCAGAATCTGGGTGTTTTGTAGATTTAAGAGGGGAAGGGAGAGAAACTGGAGACTTGAGGGATGCTGGCTGCTTTCATCTGGCACACACAGTGTTAGGCTGGCTCCCGGGGGTCTCACTCTCATTTTCACATAGAGCAAAGGGATGCTCTGAGCTGCTCAGCAGCAGGTTCTCAGGGGCTGAGCTGTGATGGGAGCTGGGAAATGAGACTGGGTAAGATTCCTGCCACCACACTGTCGCATCAGAGCTTTTTAAAAAAAAAAAAAAAGAAGAAGAAGAAGAAGAAGGCCCTGTGGTTCTGTGGGAGTTTTGCCTGCATTTTCCGGGTAATTGCCTTGCCTCCGCCCTCTGTGAGCTGGGCTGTGGCAGGCGCTCAGGCTGGGGGAGGTGGCCAGCGTCTGAGCCTCCTTCCCTGAAGTCAGGGGCAGGGCTGCCTGGGACCGGATAGGGGACCCGCATCCGCCTTCAGGGCAGCATATGAGAATGAACTAGGGCCCTAGGGAAGCGGGGTCACAGGGGCACAATCCATCCCAGAGGCACAGAGGGAAACCAGGAGCCACTGCTGGCAGATGAAACTTCCATGAGCCACCCACAGGAGGCAGATCCAGGAAAGACTGAGGGCCGGTGCTCTGAAGGCAGAAAGCTGGGGTTGAGTCCCAGCTGTGCCCTTGGGTAGCTTGAACTTACGCAGGTACTTAAATCTCTCTGCACCTCTGAGCACCTATCTGCCTCACGGTTTGTGGTGAAGATCAACACATTGATTCAGGGAAAGCATTGAGAGTGGCCGAAAGGAAAACAGAACAAAACAAAACAAAACTGTGTTTCTTCTACACTCACAGAATACTTCTGACACCCAACGGGTGGGGATTTTCCAACCGTTCGGACATCCACTGGGTGTCCTGTACTTCTATTCTGACACTAACTGCCCCGAGTTAGGGTTGAGGCTGCTGTCCCACAACACTGCACCCCTCCCCCCACTTCAGATGCCACTGATAAGTCCCAGGCTGTTACCTGTACTCTGACCAACTGCCTAGAAATGGGGCTCCCCCAACCCCATCTTTGGGTTTATTTGTTATAATGGCTCAAAAAAAAAAAAAAGAAAACAACTCAGGGAAACACCTATTTATTTACATTTACCAGTTTATTATGCAATGATGAGCAGCCAGATAAAGAGGTGCCTAGGGGCGAGCTATGGGAGAAGGAACCTGGAGTTTCCGTGCCTGCTCAGTGCTCACCGCCCTCCCAGCACCCCATGTGTTCGCCAGCCCAGAAGCTCTCCAAACCCCATGCTGTAGGGATTTTTATGGAGGCTTCATCACGTAGGCATGCTCATTATTAATTAAATCTCTAACCCCTGTCCACTCCCCAGAGAATGAAGGGTGGGACTGGAAGCTCCAAGCTTTACTCAGGCTTGGTCTTTCTGGTGACCAGCCCTGATCCAGGAGCCCACCAAGAGCTGTCCCATCAGAGCAAAAGATATTCCTGTCACCCCGGAAATCTCAAGGGATCCAGGAACTCTGTGTAAAAATACTCCTGTAACTCCCATCACTCTACAAGGGATTTAGGAGCTCTGTGTCAGGAACCAGGGTCAAAGACCAAATATTATAACAAAAGATGCCTCCAGCACCCCTCTCCCTCTGGACGTCCTACTCTGTACCAGGAACTGAGGACAAAGACCAAACAGATTTCTTAGTGCACCACAGTGGCCCATGCAAAGGGCTCAACAAATGGTAGCTCTTATTATCCGAGCAGAGGCATCCCTTGCGGTCTCTAATGAGGCCCGTGGGGACATCCCTGCAAAACCTGGGAGATGCTTGTGTTCCTGGTACCCTATTTGGAACCTGGTAAACCTTTACTTGTCCGTAAAGACTCGGTTCAAGTGACACCTCCTCTGTGACGCCCCTTTCCCATGCTTATGTATAAATGCATTTTACTTATTTATTTCATGCTTATCATTTTTTAATTTCTTGAAGTTTATTTATTTATTTTGAAAGAGAGAGACAGAGAC